TATATAATATAATATATATATAATAAAATACTTTAAAATAACTTATTTTATATATAAATTAAATCTTAATTAAGTATAATACTAAATATACTTTCTTTTATATTATAAAAATAATATTATTTAAGAGTAATATTATATTAATCTTTAAAGTATTAAAAAGCTATTTAGAATATATTAAAGTATATAAACTTTATTTAAAAGCTTATAATAACTTTAAAAAATAAAAAAACTAAGTTATTAGTATATTTTAAAAAATATATTAAAGACTTTTTATTTAGTTTTTTTTATTTACTTATTATAATAAACTTAAATAATTTTATAATTCTTAAGGCTTTTAATATATTTATAATTTAAATCTAATATAAAAGTCTTTAGATAAAAACTATTAAATAACTTTACTAATTTTTATAAAATATTATAATAAAATAATCTTATTAATTATTAAAATATATTTAAATATATTATAATAAATTAATAAGATATTTATAATAGTATAATTGAATTTACTAAATTTAGATTATTTTTATAATATAAGAACTATTATAAATATATAGTTAGCCTTCTAAAGCTAAGTAAATAATATATTAAGTAGTTTTTTTTAAGAAGATATCTTAATTAGCTTATATTTATTAGGCTTAAACATATATTTAAAAGAAATAATTTATTAAGCTTTTTTAAAAAATTATTAAGTTATAAAGATTAAATTTATTTATTTATAAAATATTAATATAAACTTAATATTATATAATTAATAACTTATTTAAATACTAAGGTATTAAGTTATTATATAATAAAGTAATTATTAATAACTTTTTAATATAATTTAGGATTTTAGTAAATAAAGGAAGTAAATAGTTATAAATATTTAAAAAGATAATAATTATATAAGATATTACTAATTTTATAAGAATAATAATATAATATATAATATTATACTTTTTAAGTAAAAGTACTTAATCTTTAAGAATATATATAATATTTATAAATTATTAGTAATTAATATATATAAAGTTAAGAAGATATTATAAATATTATAAGTTTTTTTTTATTTTATTAGATAGTTAATATAAATATAAGCTAATTTAAATTATTTACTAATAAACTAAAAGCTCTTAATAAAAGATTTTATATTATTTATAAAGTCCTTAAAAATATTTAGTATAATAGTATTTTAGTACTTATTTTAATACTACTAATAATAATATTAAATATAATATAATATATATTTAGAAATTATTTATAATATTAATAAATAATATATAATATCTTAAGAATATATAATACTTATTATATTATTATTAAGTATAAAGTATAAATAATAAGTTTTTAAATATCTAGCTTTAAAATAAGTTTTATTTATAAAATAATTATAAATAATAATCTAAGTCTAATTAAATATATTAGTAAAATAATAATAATATAATAATAAAATATAATAAAAAATATATACTTTATTATTTTTTATTTATTTAAGTTATTAAATAACTTATTTTTAATATCTTTTTACTATTACTAATATTATTTATTAACCTTATTATAATTATAATTTCTTAAGTTATTATAAAAGTATTAATAATATATTATACTTAAATAATAAAAAGTATATAATTTAATAAATATATTATTAAAAAAAATAAAAGTTATTTTTAAAAAAAGAATATTTATTTAATATAATATTAAATTTAATATATTAATTAGTTATTATAAATAATATATTAATAAATAAATATATATATTTTATTTTATAAACCTATTATAGTTTTTTTATTTAAAACTTTTATATTAATTATATAAATAGTATTTTTAATTAAAGTCTTTAATTAAGTTAAAATATTATTATTATATATAATTTTAAAAGTATAAATAGTATTTAAATAAATATTATTAGTATTAAATTTATAAAATATTGTTAAAAATAAAATAATAAGACTTTATTAATAATTAATATAATAATAATATTAATAAAAGAATATATAAATATTTTAAAATTATTTTTAATAATAATATTAAAAATAAAGTTATAATTTTTTTTTAAAAAATTAAAAATATCTTCTTAATAAAATAAAAAGTTAATATTAAATAAATAATATATTATAAATATATTATTAATATCTTATTAAAAATAATAATATTAATATAATATTATTTTTTAAGAAAAAAACTATATTATTAATTAAAAATATAAAAATATAAAAGAATTTATAATAAATATATAAGAAATATAAATTAATAAAATCTAATATATTATAGAATTTAATTATAGAAAATCTAATATATTATAGAATTTAATTATAGTTAATTTTTAGTAATAAAATAAAAAAAAAATTATTTTAATAAGAAAAAGTATATTTTAGTATAATAAATTACTAATATATTATTAGCCTAGTTATATACTAATATTAAATAGCGTATACTTAAATAAGCTATTTACTTTAACCTTAAGTTATTTATAATTATTATTATTTATTTATATTATAAGGCTTATAAAACTATTTAATATTTTTATAATATATAAATTATTAAGATATAAAGAAAAACCTTAAGGTAAAAAACCCTTATACCTTTTATTATTTATAATATCTTTATAATAGTTATTTTTATTTAATAATCTTTTTTATTTTAAAAAAATATTAAAAATACTATTATAAAGAAAAGTCTTCTTATAAACTAAATACTACTATAATATAATAAATAATATAACTTTTTCTTAAAGTTAATTTTATTATTATAAATATAATAAATTATACTTTTACTAATATAAAATAAACTATACTATTATATATAATAAATATAAGATAATATTACTTACTTAAGCTTTAGTATATTATTCTAGTTATATTATTTAGATTTTTATTAGACTATAAGCTAGGGCCTCCCCCCTCTTAAATAATATTACTTACTTAGGCTTTAGTATATTATTCTAGTTATAACTTAGATTTTTAGTTGTAAGTTAGGGCTTCTTTAGTCACCCCGCAGGGCTGCCTCCGGCTGGATTCGAACTAGCGACAACCCCCCCCCCCCCCCCGAAAAGGGGCCTTCCATAGCTCATGACCAGTGAGCCACGGAGGCCCGGGTCACCTATAGCCACCTTACTACAGGTAGGTACCACGCCTAGCGTGATGGGTTTGCCGGTAGCGCTATAGCAAGATGGACGCACCCAGGGTCTTAATCCGTATCTAGGTTGGGGAGGGTTTTCTACTGTCTGGATAGCACACCATGTCAAAAGCCAAAAGCTGGTTGCGCTGAAAATCGGCGTCCCTGGCGATATGGGGGATTTCCTGGTGCTAAATCCGCCCTGCAGTCAAGGATGCATCCCGCCCCCTCACTTTGCTAAGCACATTCCCTCTCACCGGTGTGAATGTTGACCACTATTTTTCCGGCTTGTATAGACGTTCCACAAGTTATTCAGCTCTGAATTTTCACCATAATATGCTGCAAGTCCTATTATGCACAGCATACTATTGATGCAACTAGTTTAGGAAAACCTTTACTTTCTTATCCATACCCCCTGTGGCAATAACACAGCGGAAGTGCGCGTTGGTGTTATTACTCTTCAAAGCCACTGCGGAGCGCGCGCCATCTCTATTCTGGCCATGGACGGTCTTGATGGCTGGAATCCATCGTAGACATGTGATAAAGCCCTCATGCACACCACGAATGACGCTCATGCACTGTCCTTTCTGATTCAGATCCCAAAAACGCAACGTTTTGTCGTCGGCAGCGGAGAAAATGTACTTGCCGCCCGGGTGAAACACCAAGGCGCTCACCCAACTGTCATGGCCAAGTAAGGTTGCAAGGCATTTTCCACTCGCATTCCACAGCTTGATGCTTTTGTCTCGTGAGCCCGTAGCGAAAAACTCGGCAGCATTTGACCAAGGCACAACCACACTCAATCCAGCCAGAGACGATAGGTACTGATAGGAACTTGGAGGAGCAAAAGCGCAACAGTTAATCGCCTTGTTGTGGCCAATCAATGTCAGGGTCGCTCCTGGACTGCATGAATGAATATCCCATAAACAGGCTGTGTTGTCTGAGCTTGAGGATAATATGAATTGGCCATCGTCAGAGGGGCATACAGATCGCACCCAGTCGTTGTGTCCCTGCAAAACTTTGACACAAAATCCTGTGGTAGTGTCCCATAGTCGTATCGTTTGATCTGCACTAGCACTTACCAACAAGTTCTTGCCGGATCCACTGCAAGGCAGAAATCTAACGGATGTTATAGCATGCTCGTGGCCACTCAGCGTCCTGATGTTGTTGTAGTTATCCGACGGATCCCAAATCTTGATGACCAGGTCAGAGCTGCAAGAGGCAAGAAACACGGCACCCTTGGGGCCGCCAAAGTCCAAGTCACGCACAGCCTGCGTATGGGCCTTGATTGTTCTTTCCAGCTCACCCAATTCCCAGTCCCAAATCTTGATAGTGCAATCGTCTGAGCCCGAGGCAAGAGAGGAAAACACAGGGTGAAACGCAACACAGTTTACGCTGTCAGTGTGTGACTCCAAGTGAAATCTGGGCTGCGATGCAGGAATCCAAGAGGCTGCATCTTGACGTTTCGAGGCGGGTACTGCGCAGTTGAGCTGTGATTCCAGATCTGCCATCCTGGCCTCCAGTTCTGCGACCTACAAGCGAGCAGACTATTAGCAAATCGCAGTATAGTAACGAGTTATCGCATTGTACTTGCCTTGGCCTCCAATCTTGAAACCGTCGTCCATTTCTTTTCTAGCAGCTGCCCGTATTGGTGAGCCTTGGCTGCGCTAAACACGTCAACCCCTAAATTAAGCTCCGCCCGGAGTGTCGAGGCAGTCGTCGTTTTGCCTTGCGCTTCCGCATAGCCAAGTATGGATTTGTGTCTGCCACGAATATCTTAAAAAAAATTGTTCAAAGGCGATATAGATAAAACATACAGTTCTTCTGCCTGTACAGCACTTAGCGACCGGCTCATGATAGAACCTCGAGGCCAGCCCTATTTGGCCCTCAGTAGTGGCAGATGTTTCAATGGCAGAAAAATGGACGAGACTCCGATTGAGCAGTGGTAGAGAGAAGTAGTTTTTTGGTCCCGCTGCGCGCCCAGACTTTCCTTTGTGATGTTCTTGAATAGTTGTAGACGGCAAAAGGAAGCGAGCAGCCGCCCAGATTAAGCTGAAATATCACGTGCCCAATTCATAAGTAATCGCCTACATAGACGACGGCTATAATAAACAGGGGTACTATTAAAGCTATAGATAGAGTATATAGTATAGGCGATAATAGCTAGTAAGGTATTATAATATTAGTTATTAATAAAAAATTAAAAAAAGGAAAAAATACTTATTTTTATTTTTTTTTATATATAAAATTAAATACCTTTTTTTATAATTATTTTTTTCTTATTAAATATTTATTATAATAAAATATATTATTAAAAGTTTTATATTTATTAATTTTTTATTATTTATATTTTTAATTAATTAATTTATTATTTATAAGTTTAAAGATTTTAATTATTAAAAATTATAAATTTAATATAATTTAATAAAACTAAAGTTTTAATTTTAATATTTTTTTAAAAAAAATAAATTAAAATTTTAAAAATTAAAATTATTAAATTAATTATATTTTTTATTATTTTAAAATTTAAAAATCTTAAAATTTAAAATTTTTAGTTTTTAGTCTTTAAAATTTATATTAAAAAATTATATATTTAAAAATATATTAACTTTAAATTTTTTAATTATTATAATAATATTTTAATTAAATTAATTTTTTTAATATTTTAAATAATTAAAATAAAATTTAAAAAAATAATATATTTTAAAATAAAGTATTAACTTTATATCTTTATAACCTAAGAATAATATATAACTATATTATACCTAAACTAATAATAAAATTAAAAAAGAACCTATTTTATATTAAATAATACCTAAAACTACTTTATAATAATAATAGCTTAAGGCTATAGTAATAAGGGTAGTTATAGTAGCTAAATTATTACTAGAGAGATACCTTAATATACCTCCCTAATAGAAATATATTATAATATACTTAATATAAGAATAACTTAATAGTATATACTAACTAAAAGGGAATTAATTAATAAGCTCCTTTTTTTAATTAAGGATAAGTATAAAAATAAAATAAAGAAAATATAATAATAATATTTATAAATATAGACTTATATAGAGGCTAAGGTAGCTTTAGCTAGTCCTTTAGTTATATAAAAGATAATCTAGTCTATTATTAAGGAAATAGTTATATAAATACTCTAGTAAAGTTAAAAAAAGCCCTAGACTTAGCTTACTTAGGTAAGATTATATACTAAGGTAGTTATAGCCTAAGGCTAGCTAGTACCTAGGGTTATACTAGTCCTAGTTAAGTATAAAAGGGAGTTAATTATTAAGGTATAAGACTACTTATAAGAAGTAAAAGACTACTCTTTATAAGAGGTAGTAAGTATAGTTAATAAGGCTATATAAGCTAATACTATTATAGTATCCTAATACCTCCCCTTTAAAGATATAGTCTTATCTTTTTATTAAGGTATAAAAGAATATATATAAGATAAATACTAGGTTAAGGCTACCTTTAGACTAGAGATATCCTTAGCCTATTAGACTTATATAATAATTATTAAAGTAGTCTTATAAAATAAAATCTCTTAAGATATTACTAATTTAATTATAATATTATTAGTCTTTAATAAAATAAATATTATTATAACTAAAGTATATTATCTTTATATTAAGACTAAAATAAAAGCCTTTTTAATTATTAGAACCTATAATATAAAAATAGTTAACTAATTATATAAAAAAGAAATATTCTTTAACTTATAAGTCTTTTAGTATAAACCCTTTTTAAAGGTAATATAGCCCTTATAGTATTTCTAATATTATTAGTATAGTTATATTAAAAAATACTATTAAAATAAGAAGAAATATAGCTAATATATATACTAGTCTTATAATATAAATAAAGTATACTTAATAAAAAAAGATTACTAAAGGAAATAATATCTTAACTATAAGGAAAAATATTTAGCCTAGTCTTAAGACTATTTAGTTATATAGTAGTATTAGGGGTATACTTAAGAGGTATACCTCTTTAGACCTACTAAGTTTAAAAGCTAAAAGACCCTAGATATTAAGGCCCTAAGGTCCTTAAGAGTATCCTCTTTACTAAAAAGGGCTAGAAGTATATAATAGTAAAGAGAGTAACTAACTAGGCCTAGCCTAGTACTAGGCTAATACCTTTACTTAATTTAAATAAATATACTAAACTTTAATAGTACCTAAGTTATAGTACTTAAACCCCTAACTCTAATAAAGATATTATAAAGACTTAAGTATATACCTAAGCTAACCTAAAAGCTACTTATAGCTAATACTAATTTTATAAAAGGCTAGGAGATACTTCCCCTATTATTTATTCTAATAGCTAGCTAAACTCCCTCTATATTAGATATACCTTAAGATATAAAGATAATTAACCTAGCCTTATTTAAGTAAATAAATAAAAATCCTTTTATAAAATACCTATAAGGATAATAATAATATTAGGCTAGCTATTTATTAGAAGAATAGCTTAAATATTATTACTATTTAAGAAGTCTTATCTAAAGGCCCCCCCCTTACCCTTATAATAGTACTATATTAGTACCTTTAGGGAGAAGGGTAGGTAATAACTTATATATATAAAAGAATTAATAAAGAAAAATAGGAAGTAGTTATAAATAAAGATATATACTATATTTAGTTCCTAAAGAGACCCCTTAATATTATAAATATCTATATAAAGCCTAAGATAGACCTAAGGTACTTTTTTAATAATATACTTTTAAGTATAGAGTTTTTATATATAATAATAAAAGACTTTAACTTATATTATTTAGACTAAGATATATATAATTAGAAGTTAATATAAGTAAATAAGATAATAAAGACTATAATATAGCTTAAGACTATCTTAATAACCTTATAAGGTACTATTACTTAGTTCTAATATAACTAATATATAAGTATATTAGACCTCTTATAAGCTAACCTAATCCTAAAAAGGAGATATATAACCCTAGACTAAAATCTTAT